ATTACAAAATACACTATTTCAAAACTTGAAATCTATTTTTTTCTCATGCCCATGCATCTTGCTGTTGAGATGATCAATTTGAGGATATTTGGGCATCAAAACAACATCTTCTAGTGAAATTTGTAAGGTAGGCTCGAATTTTATTGTTTAGACTTTAGAGCCTCGGCTCTATATAAACTTTTCCCATTTGTAAAATAGAACAAATAGGGAGAAAGAAATTGTGTTTGGTATTTCTAAACTAGAATAAATAGGGGTAAAATAATAATTTTTCTCGAGCCACCTAATTCTAATGAAATAAGGTAGAATTGCTTAAGTACTCCTTATTGTTCGGCTTTCCCAATGCCGAATAAGGGCACCATGAAAAATTTTCCAAACATTTTAGGAAGCATCTAATTGACATTGAACTTCAACAGCATACCATTGAAATCTTTTGATCCTTTCATATATTTTAAGGGGGGTTTCAAACCCCTTTGATATTTTCTCAAAAATATTTAAGATATTAACTATTTAAAACTTAACTATCTTTTATTTAATTTGAAAATACGCATGATTTTGATCAGGAATAATAAAAAAAGGGTAAAACATAAAATACTTAAAAATAAGATGTATTTCGGTAGATTTCCTTATTTACAATGATCCCTGTCACTCCTCGCCTTTAGTCAGTCTTTCCCTTATCATCTCTTTCATAAGTTACATTTGTTAGCAAATTCCACTCTCTTTGTACTTGTCATGGGGAGCATTAAGCACTCTTTTCAATCTAATAACGGGAGGAAAATTTACATAGAAAGGTCATGAAAATGATGATTGATCCAATTAATAGAACAATGAAAGAAAAACATTCATCAAGTTTTCTCTAATTTGCTCTTTAAACCCATCTAAAACCTTACCTAGACTAGGTATGTTTTCTCCTAAACCACCACAATGAATAAATATACTCTTTTACCTTTTGTACAAGGAGGTCACGATCATTCTTGCCCCTTGGATTTCAAATTGGGTGGGTTATAAGCGCCACTAAAAAACTTAAAGTTCAAAAAAATAATTCTCAAACTTTGTGACTAGCCCAAGCCATCCAATTTGACATCCAATTAGTAGGAGTAATTGTGACCTTCTTGTAATAAAGATAATTGATCACATTGTATAAATGGTGCAATTTGCATATGGATGCAACCGTAGGTGTAGAGGTAAGGTGCAACTTCAAATTTTATCATGGTATATAATGTTGATGTAAAATGTTCTTAGGATTATCTCAAAATCTATTTTTATATCTGATTATAAAATTTTAAATTTAAAAAATGCTTAAAATCAAGTAGATCTATAAACATATGAAAATCTTGAAAATGGATGGTATAGATAATATGTTGTAAAATGCACTATTTCTAAGACTTCAAATCTTTTTATTTTTCATAGTCATACATCTTGATGTTGAGATGATCAATCAAAAGGTTTTTAACATTAAAATTACCTTTTTCGATGGATTTTTTAGGGGCATCCGTAGTTCTACATTATAGGGTAGCATCCTTGTATAAACTTTTTCCTTGTATACAATCCCATAAGAAAATAACATGATTGATACTATTGCTTATCCTCTTTAGGAAGGAAACAGTTTATATAAGGTTGCACCTTTTACTATAGAAGTAGGGTACCCCACAAAAACCTAGTAAAAGATTGTGCTGAAGTGGAAAAATCTTTTAACCAATTATCTCAACCTCAAGATGTATGGATATAAAGAAAAAAAAAATGAATCTTTTTTTCTAAAAATAGTATATCTTGTGACAAATTATCTAGACCATCTATTTTTAGAATTTGAAGTATTTATAAACCTACTTCATCAGCGCCATATTTCAAATTTTAAATTTCATAATTGCGATTAAACGTGGATTTCCAATTTATCGTAAAGTTTTCGATACCGGAACGACATCTTCTAACAAAATTTAGAGGTGCACCTTATTTGTTGTGCACTTTATACAAACCTCACCCTTTTAAGAAACATTACCTATACAAACAAGGAATTGGGCTTGTGATGTGCAAACAAGGAATTGGGCTTGAGATGGAGGGGTTAATAGTTGACTTTAGCACTTATACAACTCAGGTTCGATTCTAATGGCTGAACTACGAGAAAGGGGGGCAAAAAAAACATGCACATGCATAATGTGATCGTCCCCAAGTTTCTATTATTGTTTCTCATTTTTATCAAAATTTTTTAAAATAGCCAATTTGTCACTACTTCAATCCTTCAAACCCCAAGTTTAATCAATGCATTTGTGAGTTTGACGCATACTTCAGTTGGTTTGAAAAAAAAAAAACTTCGAATTTTCAAAATCCAAAATTTTCTAACTTGGGACCTTGGAGGTCCTAATTGATCCTGGATCCCAAAAACAACCTTTTGGCATAATTCAGGTGGTTCTTGGGATACAAGGAAAACTTGGTGTCTTTAAGTTCCAAAGTCATGAGCCACTTTCTGGCATGCTGAGATGTAGGGTGGGCAATGGGGAGGCTTTGGTCGGGCCAGGGCCAGGCCAGGCCAGTCCTGGCCCTAGCTCAGCCTTAGTCTCTTTAAAGCCAGCCCGAACCCAACTTGGACTGGACTGAAGATGGCCGATACTTGTACAGGTTGGGCAGAAGAAAGAGAAAAAAAAAGGAAAAAATTGATAGGTCAGACCTACCCTGTCCTGGCCCTTACCTAGGCCCACCCTAGCGTAGCCTTCAAGACTTGGTAGCCCGGCCCTCAAGTCACATTTTATAACCCGGGCTCCAATTTCTAGGGCTGGCTGGGGCACCTGGCCCTTGCCAGCCCTACCGAGGTGGATTCCAGGAGAACTTCAAACAAGGTACACAATAGGGCTAATCTGGGAAAAAATAAAAAGTGAGAATAAATGAGCATGAATGTAAATGTTAACTTTCAAAGTGGATTCTTAAATAAAGGTAATTAAGTGGGATATTTGCGTAATTTTTTTAAAAAATGAAAACAAAAAAATAAAAAAAAAAATGTAAAAAAAGAATAATATGCCTTTACCAACATAACATCCCACGATCCATTCCCACCTTTATCATATTAAAAAAAAAAGAAAAGAAAAAAAAAAGAAAAGAAAAAAAAAAGAAAAAAGAATAGATACGTCTTTATGAAACAATTACAATAATAACATTTTTGAATTATATTAAAAATAGGTGAGAGTGATAGAAATTGAGATGGGAAATTTGCAAGATGAAAGGAATGAAGAGCTGGTAGCTTTAGGAAACCCATATATGGTAGAGGATATATGAAGAAATAGTCGTTGTAAGGGTTCTTAATTCTTGAGCTTCTTACGAATCAGATACTTCCTATCTTAGCACCCAGCGCTTCATATATACATCTACTGCAACGACTTTAGAATCCAAAAGTTTTTAGTTGTGTGATTCAAAGAAGGAAAAAAAGTTATATATAAGGTTTCAACCTTACTACATAGAAGCAAGATTTACCTCAAAAGGTTAATCAGAATGATTGTTTCAACATTGGAAAAATATCCAATCGTTCATCTTGAACTTGAGATGTTGTATATGAAAAAAAAAAAATAAGTCTTAAAATTAGTCAATCTTGTAGCATATATTACCTTGACCGCCCATATTCAAGATTTTTAAGTGTTCTTGAATCTGCTTGACCAGCACTATTTTTTTAGCTTTAAATTTTATAATTAGGCCATAAATAGATTTTCAGGCCATCATAAAAGTTTCTAGCACTGAAAGTACACCTTTTGACGAGGTTTCGATGTTGCCGTTAGTGTAATGGTTTAAGGTGGGTGCCACGTATAATCGCACGTATCAAAGATTGAGGTGCCAATATTGCAATTTATTGTTCGACTTTAGTCGTCAATATCAGTGAGTTAGATATGTTTAGATAGGTCTAGTTATAGGTACATTGTACTTTTGGGTACGTGACTCAATTTCAGTCCTCAATATTGTAATTTGGCATATTGTTTAACTCAATTTGGCCACCACAATGTTTTTGAAAGGAAGATATGCTCAGTGAAGAAGAGGCTCTTGTGAGTTGTACCGCATGGATTAGTTGGGTGCTTGGGGAGTTTTTGGTGTAGAAATGGCGAGGTTTATGAAATTGTGGTGCTCTAGGAGTTAAGATAGGTCAATCTTGGATTTAAGGAGTGCTCCTCCCTTTTTCTTTGTAATGTACTATTGCATCTTCGGAGATTTGCTCTGCTATCTAATGAAATTACAGTCAACATTTTTTTAAAAAAAAGAAGATATCATTCGATTTGTTTTAGGTTTACATAGATTTCTTTTAACAAGGGTAGATTTTGGTGCATAAGTTGTTGCACCTATTCGAATGTATTCCACTTTTCAAAGTTCATCTCATAATTGGATTTTTTAGATCCAAAAGTTTACAAGTCAATAATTCAAACCATGACAATCATAAAAACTTTTGGATCTAAAAAATCCCTATCAATTACATAGAGAAAAAGTTTACAAGTCAATAATTAAAACCATGACAAAAATCGCATCAGGCACATAGAGAAAAATAGAATCTCATCCATAAATGAAATTCCACATCCATCGTGTAAAGTTTGGGTCTTTACACCATTCCACGATCAATTCAATGTATTTGGCGCTCAATTGTAACATGCCATACTTCAGAGCCCATAGTTCAGCCTCGTTAATGCCGCAAAGATGTCTAGTAAGTCCAAATGATGGAGCCATTACTATCCACCATTACTATCCATAAACAATCCAGCCACTTGACCTTCATTTCTCATATTGCCATCAAAATTCAATTTGACCAGATGTACTACTAGTGGTCTCCACAGTGATAGTCTTACAATCCTTTTCTTCATGCTGAAAAGTAAGTGTCTGAAATTACGAACAAGAAACTCCTTTGACACATCCTTGAAAGCAAGCTGTGCATGGGCCCAATTGGTGATAAACGATGTATTAGTGAGAAGAAATTGTTGTATCATCCTTGAAAGCAGGCTGTGCATGGGCCCAAAACAGGACACATTTCTTTACCTTCCCCCAAGCTCCCTGATCTCCTTCTTCTCTTTTCCCCAAAGCTCTATGATCTCCTTCTCTTCCCCAAGCACCATGGACTCCCGCTGAAGAAGACAAAGACCGAATCTCCCATCTCGCAAAGTGTCTCTCTAGGCCTTTGATCTTCACTGTCATGGACTAATCTTACGAGAAGTGCCTATTTTTTGTAGATCATAAATCCCGTTTTATTTTATTTTATTTTATTTTATTTTATTTTATTTTATTTTATTTTTTTTGAACAATTTTTTACGATTATATTAAGCATGGACTTGTGATATAAAAGCAAACCACAAGCAAGACATTTTGTACATAGCTAAAAAAAAAACTTCCTCAAAAATTTTCTATACATCCAAAAAATCTGTGCAGAGCATATTGCATCCACATTGTTATATAAATTTAGATCTGATGTAAATATAAACTTCGCTTTGTCGTACAAAATGGCTTATATTAAACTTTCTTAAGGTATCTATCCAAGCTCTTACCCCACATTGCTTTATTCTCACTGAATGACATGTCGTACATTTAATTGTGGATTGCTATTTGTAAAATAAATATGTTCTATACACCATTATTTTCTTTCCTAACTTGTTCACTTTTTCCATTTATCTGCTTTTTTTTCATTTTATTTCATTTAATTTGTATTTCCCTCCTTGCTTTGATCTCCTTTGTATCAGTTCTATTCTAATCATTGGAATTTACTTTAGAATGGGGTTTTGCCGTGTCAACCAACACCTATTCAAATTGAACTCCTTAAAAAATCTATCATGGAGATGAATTTTGGACTTAAAAATTTAAAGGTTGACAAACTCAACCACTGCGATAATGCATATGGAAAAAAATGGATTTTGAATCTTGAAAGACAGTAGTTTGAACTTTGTTCTTAGACTATTCATCAGTTCACTTTAATTTGTCACAGATCATCAAATATGCACACTTTTTGAGCTGCAAAATCATAGATCTAAATCGGAAATGTCTCTAGAATGATGCAAGAGATGTTTTAGACCAAGAAGCGCATTTGAATAAGACCTCATTTAAATTTTTTCCGTTTAAGTTATCATGTAAATCACTTAATTAGACACTGATGCACGTGACTTCCTTACAACCCCCACCATTCATATGCATTTGACAAGATCAATAAAACATGGACATGCATGTCAGAGGATCTGACCACATGTTGACACTTGTTGGACACAAACTCGTGTCAAGAAACGCATAGGACACTCCTACAGAGTGTCTAACGGTGTCTCTTTTTTAGATACAATTCTTTTTTGGAATGTGGCGTGTCTTCATTTAGAAATGATTTTTCTTCAAGGAATAGTATTTTATAATAAAATACAAAATATTTTTGAATTAAAAAGTACTTCTTAGAATAAAAAAAAAAAAAATTTATCCTCTTACTTGAGGTTGCATAAATCAATATACCCATAAAGATGAAAGTATCGTTTATTTCACGTAGCAATAGACCTTCTAGGGTTCTCTCTCTGACTTGTGGTTTCTCCCTAACCAAGTCGTGAACCTGAGGATCTTCATCTCACCTCTTCTCCAATGTTTTCTTGTTCCCCTACTTATGAACAAGTCAATGGGGTAACTCTATCTTTCATGGTTTTTATTTGTTCCACGTATTATAGTCTACTTGGTTTGACTTGAACAAAATTATTTATATTTCTCACATTTTGAAGTTTTAGATTGTTTTATGGACGCAATGGTATTTACTGTAGTTTAGAAATTCTATCATTTTTCAAGGAATGAACAATATGGGTGTTGAACTTCTTATATCATTTTTATTTATTGGCCCTTCTCCTCATATTTATAAGTCGATTGATCTTGATTTGTTAATCTAGATGACATGCAATTGTATAATGATTTGACCAAGCCATTAGTGAGTTCAATTGGGTTCGAAGAAATGACCTAGGTTGATAGTCTTTAAAGTCTGTAATACTTTGCCCTTCAAAGTGTAGTACATGTCCTTGTCTCAAATTTTTAAAATTAAATTTTTATTTTGCAGCTGTATTGTTGCCTTTGTCTCGATTCACAAAGGAACATTTGTAGTATATGTAAATGTAGATGTAAACTACACATGCATTTCAATTAAATATTGTGTACTATATGGATGTCTTGTGTCTCAATAACATTTCTTTGAATTTACTTTTCTGACACTCTCGTCCGAGTCACAAATAGATACATCTTTCCATTTCTATGTAACATAGGACACAATAAATGTATCACCCAACTTGTGCATCACAAGAGTTTCACAACAACATATTTTTACCAATAGGCTATCAAATATGCTATGCACCGTAATATTTGATAACAAAATAATGAAACAATTATGTCTCACCTTTGAATACCCAAATGAATCCATGTACATATGAGTTTCTACATAAAAAAGAATCATGGGGTTAGAGGAATCCCAACTCAACCCTTTTCATAGCAGAAATTGCTGCTTCATATCCTCCAACAATGTGACCAGATTTTCTTTCTTTTGCACCTTTTTCTTTGCTTTTTTTCTTGATTGAGAAATAAATTCCAATTCTATGCTCTAGCCTTGACCTAAGTTCCATCTGAGAAAGTGTAAATGTCACTAGAGATGGCCACCATACTTGTAAACATAGATAATACCATCATGAACCATGAAGAAACTTTGTCTTCCTTCGTTGCAATCCCACGCGTGTCTCTGCAGAAAGATTGTCAATAATTCAAGTAGATTGAAATAGAGACAAAGGTCTCTATTGATTTGAAACTCTCATGGAAACAGCATGAAAGTCAAAAGAAAAAGATTATTTTTGAAACGGAAAAATTCTCATCCTACCAAATCTCAAGTTTTCTTTTATTTTCCACTTACATATATAATTGTTTTATTTGAACTATAATCCTTAGCGACCCTATATCCTAGTTATTTTTCTTTGAAGTTCCCTATTTTTGTTCTTCTGCTTACTTCTTTAAAGTGGGAGCTAACCTCCTATACAATAAAGTTGGGGTTCTTGACAGGAGTAAGGTTTAACATTGACTTTTCACTCTTTCAAACAAATAAAACCTTTCTAACAATGGAGAAAAAGAAAAAAGTCCAATTCTCAGTACCCCCTCAAATAAATTAATCCTCTTAAATATGGGTTTAGCTTCTAGGTCATTGGATATATAGCCAAGGATCTCAAGGCTACAAAACAATAGTCCTGTATTCAAGGTCCACCTTACCCACCTCAAAAGAGAAAAAAAAACATTGGACCAAGGATTAGAAAGAAAAAAGGCAACAACTGATCCAAAAGACATGGAAAAGGAAAAACAACATTGGACGACAGTATATAGAAAAAAAAAAACAACTTAACACAAACAGTGGTATTTTTTTTGGAGGGGGAAGGGAGGGTTGGGATTTGGACCAAGGTTTCGAAAGAACATACCTAATAGTGATGGCCGCTGGAAAAATAAATCCAATACAAGTAGCAGCTGTGGCCCCAGTAAACTGGAAGGCATCCCATATACTCGGTATAAAATTAGCACCAATGAAGATAAAGGCCATTGAACCAACAGTAACTGCAAAGAAGCGTCGCGCATCAGAGGCTATTGGTACAGCATAAGGGAAGAGGAGGCCATCGAGGTTGAGGCGAAGAGAAAAGAAAATAATGGGAAAAACAAGCATAAGATGGAGAACATAGCTCAATCTAACTACATCACAAAGTAAGGCACCAAATGGAACCCTGAGGTTTGAATCGAAGTTGGCAAGTACGTCCTCTAAGGTCTTCTCACCAAATAGGAGGAACCCAAATAGGCTTGTTGCCATATACACACATGCACATAGTATTAGGGATGTACGCACAATTGAACCCATTTGTGACTGGTCCTCCAGCTCGTTCTCGATGGGATGGACTGCATAAAAGTTCATGGATTCTGTAAGAAACAAATATTTTGAGCTTTTTTAAGAGCGAAAGTATACTACAATCTAGTGGAATAAGGATAATCATAATCTGTCGAGATCATCGTCATTTGATGACATAATGGATGGTAATGGAGACAAGGGAGGACCAACCATTGGTTGTATCCTGTTTTGTGGGTTCTCCTTTATCTCCATATCCTCACATTACTTCATTAGATGGTGATCAACCCAATGGAAGATGGTGTGTACCATAGTCCATTGGATAATGGCATACTTTCCACTGCTTCAAGAAATTGAAGTTATAGAGTTGATCATTATCTCCTCTAGGTGCAAGGGCCTTTGGATTCAAGAATTCAATTCCATAGATCAACCAGAAGGTGCTTGGTTTTTGCAATCTAGAGGTTGTAACTAAATGAGAAAAAAAAGGAAATTAAGAGCCTTTGAAGCTAGTTCACAAGACTTTTGGGCCTCAAACAAAAAATTTTTTAAGCCTCGAGAAGTAAAAGAACCTACAGTACCTACTACTAGTTGTGAACACAATTGATAGAAAGAATTATGCATGTTAACATATATTTCTCACTTACCACTATAATGACAAACGTAAGCAGTAATGAGAACAGGGACAACAGTGAAGAGCTTCCAAAAGGATGCTTGATCCGTGATGTCAGGCAACATCCTTGGCTCATCGATGCTTCCCTCCAACAGTTTCATCACTGCAACACCCGCAGTTACCACCACAAACACCACTGCTAAGGCGACCGATAATGCAGACGTGTATCTCAAGGAATCTGCCATGATGTACCAAAACCTAAAATTGTATTAGAAATTCCCTCATAAATTCAGTGTATAAGCTCAAACATTCTCATAGAACTTAAGGTCATTTTTCAAAATTATTGCAGAATCTCATCAAATTAATAAATAATGACTTGAATATTTTAGTAGGTATACATTAGGGGGCTTAAGTATTGGCTTGAACTCGTCCTTTGTATACTTACATCATGATTTGTACGGACAACCCAGTGTCAAAAAAAAATTTGTCCTTTTTTCTTTGGTAGTTACTATATATTAGTTGCTTAACGTTTTTTTTTGCTTTTTTTTCGGTTTCTTAGATGGGTGCCCCGAGGCTTTAAAACGGTATGGCGCTTGGGTGAGTCAGCTGACACGACTATTCAAATGTGGTCCTCTTAGATATGGATTTTGAACATAAACTTTTACATGTCAATAATCTTAACTATGTTGATCATGAATTTAACTTAAAAAAAAAACGAATTGTGCTTCGATCAAGAAGGTAGAGGCTGGGTTATCACAGTACAACGTCGGAGAAGTTCCATTCCTATGTAACCTTGTCAAACAAAAGAAAAAGAAATGCATATCAAACCTTAAAAATAGACACAACATTAACTTTTTTTTCTTAAACTATTCATCACCATTCACTTCAACACTTCACAAATCATCAGATTGCACTATTTTCTAAGCTACAAAATCATGGATCAAAAGCAAAAGTGATGTATTTCATAACGTATATCCACCTCTAAGATGAAATTTGAACAAGACCTCACTTAAACTTTTCTCTTTTCCAGTAAAAGCCTCTGTTTTTTTAGCACTCTTTTTAAGAGCAATATCCCACAAATCATTTTACTATAATATACCATCTTTAATGTGAATCAATTAAAGTAAAAGTTAACATTTTCATTTACCAACACGCTTCAAAGAACACAGAGGGGCAAGCACCAAGATGGTGCTGAGGATGAGGACTGAACCACGGGAGGTCCACAAATGTTCTCCGAACCAGCCTACTACAACTCCTGAGTGATGAATTCCATCCGCTGAAGTTGTGCCCGAAAGCACGTCTCCTGTCCATCAATGAACACAGATCAACGGTTGAGATCCTAACTACCAAACCAATAAAAAGCTAAGGTATACTATAATAGAGTACGGTTTTTTATTGTCCATTGGGATCCTTGTTTTGGGGGACCCACTAACTCACATCATTGGCCGTCCATTTCTTCATCACACGGCGATGACCCTAATGAATAATGAGTATGATTGTAAGCAAACTAAGAATGTTCTATGACATGGTTATAGACCGAACTGGACCATCACATAAAACGCTAAGGTCATTAGATCACGACCATCCATCTTTGAAAACGCTTGGTGATGATAGAAAGTACAATGCAGTGACACCAATGGAGGTTCCCCCTTTCTCTTACTCCTGGACGAAAAATATTAAAAATATAACCGTACACAACGATTTCTCCCGCATATACTATGCTCCTGCAGGAGCATAATGTACATATACTCCTTCAGACAGAAGACCCACTTGGGAGATTTTTCCAATATGAAATTTCAAGAGTCACGTAAAAATTTCTAGATGGTTATTTTAATAGAAAAAAATTTAAAATTTAAAATTTCTAATATTTAGATCTCACGCCTTAAAAATGAGACGGTTTGTGTTATCCTTTTCTTTGTACACAGGGAGTGCAATTAGGAACTGTTTTTATTGGGATTTGTCTATGACGTGAAGATATCACACCTCCAAAATTTGGGGTTATAAAGTTATTCCTACATTATTTTTTACCCCAAGGAGTAAATGGACTGTATATTCCAGTGCAAGTATAAAATCTTGTGGCTTTCCCACAGTTTTGTACTTCATATTTTCCGTTATTCAATTCGCCTAGCAGGAATGATTCGGTGGGCAACAAATCTATATTAGTTCAATGTAGGTCAGAAAAATTGCAGGAAAAAATCTATATTAGTTCAATATTGGTCGGAAAAAATTGGAGCAAGAAAAAGATTGTATACTATGATACCATTTATTTTTAATACAATAAGGTCAGAATCACTTTTAGTCATATGAGAATCCCCAACCATCCAATTTCATATCTAATGATGGTTGTGATCTTTTTATACCAAAAGTAAATAATCTCGTCATATAAATTTCCGCAAAGAAATGACTCCATAATTGCAGGGTGGCAAAAGATTGTTTGAGAAGAAAGAATGTGATAATTTGGATTTGACTTTAAAAAATCATTTAAGAAATGGATATACACAAACATACACACAATAAAATTATAAACAAGGAAAAATAGGTTCTTATTCGTAACTTAAATAATCAACTATAATTGATAATCACTAAGACCATATCACATTTAACAAGTACAACTCAATCAGCAAACTAAAATACCTTAAGAGTTGAAATACTATAATTGTTTTAGAAGATCAAATGAAAGACAGTAAAATTGAGAGAGAGAGAGAGAGAGAGATTGGGTTTGGTGTAATGAGCCAAATTATAGTGAAAGCAATGGTCGCTCCAATTTTCAGCTTAATCCAATGTACGGAGAAAAGATGAAATTGAAAGATTAAATACAAGTGCTCTCAAAAATGGCACATGAACATAAAATATAAAATATTGGAGATATTTTAAAAACTTTGAAAATATAACAGATATCAACATAACTTTTCTAAAAAATTAGTTTTTTTTAAGAGAAAATTATCTAAATACTTGTGAGAGGTAAATTATTTAACATTTTTCTCATATTTTTTATTTAATTTGAAAATACCCAAAAGTTGCATGATTATGAGTTCGCATAGTTACAAATGGTTATAACATTAAATAATTTTTATGTCAGCGCATTTCAATATATTTCTCCTCTAAAAAAAGGATTTTTAAGAGAATTTTCGCTCATTGTGCTCATAAGGAAAGTATACAAAAAAGGCCATTTATTTTTAACATAAATAGGTGATAATCACTTTTGTTTATCAAATTTCAAATGGGGTGGTTTTAAGAGTGTCATTGACTAGATTTAAAAAAAATAAAAATAAAAATTAAAAAACAAAATATTGAACTTTGAATATATACCCAGCCATCAAATTTAATAACCAGGAACATATAACCTCCTTGTAACAAAAGTAAATGGCATACATAAAGGCATATGCAAATTATTTAACGTTAAAACATGCAGCAGGAGCACGTCGAGTGAAATTACCACAAACCATAATCCGACGGCCAAGATGCAAAGAAAGCACTTTTAATTATTTCGACAAAAAAATCCAAATAGGACAAAACCACAGTAAAATGGTACAACCATGCAGCTGGAATTTCCCCAAAAATAAAAGGAAAAGTGGTGTGTGCATCAAGGAAACCCATTTATGTTCCCCGAGGTATAAACAATCCATTTCAAAGATGGATGTAAATAATAGTCCTTCGAATAAAAAATTAAAGTCACTTGTCTAAATATTTTTTAAAAAAATTCTAGCAATTTTAATTTTTAGATTTTATTTATTTTTACATGTTTATAAGAGATTATACATTCATTAAAAAGAAACTGTGTAGAATGCGACCACTTAATTTTGGTACAAGGTAGTAACATTAATTTTAACTATTTAATGTGAAATTGGGTTGCTATAATTATTCCAAGTTCAAACTTCAAAAAAAAATTCTCAAACTTTATTATACATCCAAGCTATCAAATTTCACATTGTACAATTGTAAGTAATTGCGGCCACTTTATGTCAAAGGTAAATAGTTTCATTGTATACAATCCCATTAAAAATTGGGTGTGGTTTGTATAGAGCCGAGGCGCTGAACAATCAAAT